GCATTGCTGAGAGATGAAGGCTCCTGATGCAGGTGTAGGGGGTGAGACCCAGGGGACCCTCCCTCATTGCCAGTCCTTGAGTCAGCATTGAGAAAGCGGCTTTTCCTTCTGCCGTCAGAGCCAATCCCAGTCGGATTGCAGCAGAGACGCGCTGCTGTCAAGGTCATAATCTAATCAAAAAGGAAGGAAGGAATAAAACGTGGGAAATGAGAAATTGTTTGGAGAAGGAGGGGGACGGGGAAAGGATCCGACCAGTGCCGTGATTCAGGCAGGAGCGTGCTCGCTGCCGGAGCTGCAGGCAGCAGAGCAGGTGGCAGTGTCATCGGCGGCGTGCCGGGGAGGGTAGGGCGTGTGACGGGGACGACTGGCAGCGATCAGAATGTGTTACAGCGAGCAGAGTTTCCAGGGCTGCCAGGTGGATTGCCTGGGCGTTGGGGGAGCACGGTGGTGCCAGTGACCGGGCTGCATCTGCCACGGCGGCGAGCTTTGGTGCTATGCCAATTTAAATCCTGGTTTGTGGTTTGTGGGGTGGCCTGGCCCTGTGCCCTCATCTTAGAGCACTTTGGGAGGACACAGGCAGCTTAGCTAAAGGGACCTTCCCCGCTCGGGGCAGCACCGGCCCCGTGGAGCGGAGCAGGTAATGCCAGGGAGCAGGTAAACCCCGTACCCTGCCTGGCTTCCCCTCTTCATATTCCAAGTGGGGTCTGGCTTAACAAAGGTTTTATGAGCAGCAAGCGAGGGGTCTGCCTCTCGTCTGCATCAGCGCCGCTCCTAAGAGGCACCGCGTTCTTATCACGTCCTCCTTCCCTTTTCATCTTTCCCAAACTTTATTTCAGTTCCTAGTTTTAAAATGGTGGCCCTGGAGCAGATTCGAACCACCACCTCCGTTTTAGGGAGACGACGTCCTCCCCCAACACCAGCGAGTCGCAGAGCCGTAGAGATTCACCCGCTGCCGGTGCTGGGAGCCGTGCAAGCCGGTGACTAAGCCGAGTGTCTGGGATGCTGGGAGCCAGCTGCCAGACCGGGGAATGGTGTGGAGGGGAGAAGGACCGCCGTAGCTGAGTCAGCCCTCCAGCCGGGATGAGAGCTGGGTTGTTGAGCTCGCCTGTGGCGAGGCTGCACGCCCCCGCTGCTTCTCTTCTTAGTTGGACATCTGTTCTGGAGGTGGGGGCACGCTCCCCTCGCTGCACGATGCTCTGGGAGCCCAACCTTGCTGTGGTGCTGGTGAGGGCCAGGCTCTGCTGAGCCTCCCGGTGCCTTTCTGAAGGGGCTCCTGGACCCAAAGGCAGCCAGAGTGCCCTTGGGTGTGTCATTAAAGCTGGAGCCGGGCCTGTTTCACCCTAACAGATGGGAAGCAGGATCGCTCCGTCTGTTATCTTCATTGCTCTGTGTGTTTAGGATGGGCCTCCCTGCCCTCATCTCATCCAGAGCATCTTCGTTTCCCTCCTCCTCCGTTACCTCACCCTGCAGGCATCCTTCCGAGATGCACCGGGCTCCCTTCTTCTCCCTCATTTAATATTATTCTTCTTCTCCAATCTGGTGTGGTACTCCCCATCTTGCCTGCAAAGCACAAAGCCGCTCTTTCTCCCATTCATTCCTCCGGACCCGGGTTAGCATTTCAATTGACAATTGTGCCATTGATTTGCATGCTGACGGTGGGGTTTGCAGTAAATGCCAGGCAAAGGGACTCGGCGGGGTTAGCGAGGCTCTGGAAACGAGCCCTGTTTCTTCTGAAGCTCCGGAATTGATTTTGGAGGCAGGGTGGTGGCAGGATCGTGCCTTCCCCCTTCCAGGGGGGTGAGCCTTTCTTTGCAGTGTCAAAAGCAGCCTTGGACTTGCTCGGAGGGTCACGACCCCTTCTTTGGGGACATAGTTGGGTGCCCTCTGCCTCGTCATCCCTAGCTCTTGAAGCCATTTATACCCCTGGGTCCCCAGTCCGGGAGCGCAGGGTTGCTCCCCCTGATCCTGCCAGATGAGAAGCCGAGGCGAAGGGGATGGAACGGCTTGCCTAAGCCGAGCTGGTTAAGGCAGAGCAGGGGCTGAAGGCCAGCTTTGCGGGTCAGCCAGAGGGCTGAAGCAAGGGCAGAGGGACCCCAGCACCCGCTCACGGAAACACCTTTAAAAGGCTCCCTTCCAGATCAAGTTAAATCAGCACTGGAGCTGCAACCACACTTCTGGGCCCTGGCTAGCAGAACTGTTTACTCTCAGCTTAGTGATTCAGTGCAGTCCCTGGGGAGCAGTAGGATAAATAATACGTTGGCGCCAACCAAATTATTGTTTTGGCCTTGTTTGCTTCTGGCTGTTTGGAGGGAAGTGTGTCCTTGCAGGTTGGCACGGTTCTCGGAGCTGAGTTTAAGAAAAGAGGCAGCGCTGTGAAAACAACCTCAAAACGAAACCAAAGGCAAGGGGATCACGCGGGGTTGAAGTGTGCAAAAGGCTGAGGTGGACGAAGAGGTGTGGGGAGTGACTGCAGGTGTATATCTTCTTTTTTAAGGAATGGGCTGGAGGTTTGCAAACAAGAGCAAAGTTTGCTGAGGTCTGGCCAGGCCTGTTTGCAGCATGTTGGTGATGGGTTGTGCTGGCGGTGGTAGCTGGAGGGGGAAGAGGGGGGGGTTTAGGGGCTCCCGTGTGCGCGGGCTGTTGCCTGCCTGCTCTGCAGGTTGGGCCAAGAGGGGGATTTTGAGGACCACTGGGAAAGGGGGCTGGTGAAAAGGGGATTAATCCTCTCCTCCCCGGCAAACGTAGACTGAGTCTGTGGCTGGTGCGGTGCCCGGGCTAGCTGGCATGCCCAGCTGGCTTCCCGCTTGTAGGGCCACTTAGGCAAATGAGTTGCACAGTCACTCTGAAAAGACTCGATGCCAGCTTCTCCAGCAGGCAAAACACATGCTCAGGAGTTTTTTTCCGCGTCCTTGGACAGCGGAGAGGCGGCAGGGCTGGGGAGGAGGGGACAGGGAGCGAGCAGGGGCCGCCATCCAGCCGGGCTTTCCGAGCTGCAGGGTCCCAACCGCTGAATCCTCCGTCCCGCGGTGCAGGGGAAGGGCAGCCCGGCGGTTTTGGAGGGCAGGGATGTTTTCTGTACCGTGGCACACCTCCACCCTCCGTCTTTGCAGCTGAGGTGCCCTTACGAAACCGCGGCCCGTGTGTCCGGCGGGGTTTCCCAGCACAGGGTGGTAGCTGGCAGCATCCCCGTTCGCCAGGCCGGTGATGGGAGAGCCTCGCTGGCTGGGTGCCGTTTCGCTCTGCAGGGATCAGAAACCCCGAGGAGGTGCGCCCGGCGTTGCGAGGTGGAGAAAAAAAGCTGCAAATCAAGCAGCAGTCAGTAGCCCCAGTGACCTCTAGCAAGTCTTTTTTTTTTTTTTTTTTTTTTTCACTTTGAGCTCTACAGCGCCTTGGCGGGAGCCCTGCGTGGCATGCTCTGAGCAGAGTGGGGGAGTGCTGGACTGTGCAAAGATTGTCCTTTGCCTGTCCTGCCAAGTGCCCCTATAAATAGAGAGGGACACGTGCCACTGATTAATTGCCTGTCTGTGCGGGCAGCCAGCTCCCGAGGCAGACGCAGCCTTTGTCTGCTGGGAGCAGCAGCACTTGCCAGGAGAGAGAGGGCCCCCTCTTCTTTGGAAAAAAAAAAAAAAAAAAAAAAGAGGTGAAAACGGGAGCGCCCTGTCACGCTAAGCAGAGATCAGTCCCGGTCAGAGCCTTTTTCCCCTCAGAGGAGCAATCCCTCTCGTGTCACTGCTGCAGATTACGGTAGGGGACGGGGTAGAGCCCCCGGCAGCGCACACGTGGCACCTGCATTGCACCCTGCGGCGGAGCTGGGCCCTGGCACAGGTGCTCAAAGCTGCTCTGATGTGGCTGCACCGTCCCGGAGAGGGCTGCAGGACGGCAGGAGCCCCAGGGGAGGAGGCTCACAGCTGCACCACGGGGCAGGGCCAGCCTCCCACACCTGAGCTGGCAACGCAGAGGGGACGGGAGGATGTTTTCAGGCAAGAGGAGCTGGAAAAGCCAGAAGGTGAAAGAGGAAGGAAAGAGGAGAGGACAGGCGGTTCTTCCTCCCAGCTGGGCCTGGAAAGCTTCCCATCTGCAGCAACCGGTTGTGACACGGGTCCTAGGTCTTGCAGCTCACTTCTTGTTCACGGCTGGGGCGTGGAGCCCATGGGTTGCAGCTCTACGTGCACCCTTCCCCTGTGACTTGGGGGGGGGTGGGGGTGCTCCAAACCCTGTCCATCCCTCCTGACCCTTGGAAGGAGGATGCCGAGAGTGGAGCTGGGGGTTGGCGGGGAAGAGGTGTGATGCTGGGCTGTGGCTAGGAGGAGATCTACCCCATGGGCACAGGGAGGTCGGCCCCCCGCTGCAAGGCAGCGCAGCACCTCCTCTCCCATTCAGCTGGATAAGAGCTCGCAGCTCCAGTTAAGCGTGTGCATGGTCCCAAAGTGGGGCACAAAAACCTGCAGGCGTGACAGATGCGAGAGGGTGCAGGAGCCAAAGCTACGAGGCAGTTGCCTGGAGTGGCTGTTGGAGGATGGCCAGAGAAGAGCGGGGCCAGGGCGGGGGGGGGGAAGCCCTTTGCCTCAAAGCTGGGGGGCTGGAGGCACTGGGCCATGAGAGCAGGTGGGAAAGCAGCGCTCACCTGGCTGCTGCGGAGCCAGTTCGAAGTCACTTTGAGCTTCTGCTCCCCTACAAGAGCTCCTGCAGCACCGTTTCCCTTCCTCCTCCTCTTCCTCCACCACCACTAGCCCTGCAGGGGCCAGGCCCGGCGGCTCCATTGTGCAGCAGCCCTGTCCCCTGGGGCTATAAGGGGACAATAGCTCCGCTCCGAGCCTGGGAGCTGCCTTTCCCTGCCTGCCTGCCGCTGGGCCAGCCATCCTGGAGGGCCCCCAGCCCTTTTTTTTTCCCCTCATCACTCGCACCGAGGACACGGGCAGCGAGTCGATCAGCCTGAGCTGGCTGCGGGTGCGCAGTCGCTGCGGTTCCCCTGACGAGCGTCTCCTCTGCCCTGTCCCTAGGTGCGAAAGAGTATGTGTTTCCCAGGAGTGAGAAGTACCCGGTCTTCTATCATAAAGAAAACAGCTCAGCCATTTACATCGGGGGAGAGGGAAAGCTTTATTACTACGACTTCGCAACCTATGAGGACTACACGGTAAGGATCCTCTGCTAACAAGTTTGGCCCCGGAGCCCTGTAAGGAAGTGTCGGGCGTCCATCTCACAGCCTAAACACCAGGCACCTTGCTCACTGGCTTTGCCGGCAGCGAAGTCAGGCCTGGAAGGGTCTGGGCTGCCCCATCCATCCGGGAAACCGCCACATCAGTGTGACGAACGGGCTCAGCAAGGGGGAAGTCTCCTACGCGAGCGGTGGGTGGGTTCTTCCCAGGCAGTGACCCTCCTGAGGTCTTTGCTGCCCCAGAGGGGGGATTTTTCCAGTGAGGGACCCTTTCTTTAGCGTGAGAAGGGATGCTCAGAGTCGTGTCGCTGGGGAGAAGCTATGTTTCCATCTCTTTCCATTGTTGGAGCCCAGGATGCTTTTCCTCAAAAGCAGGAAGTTTTGGATCAGCTGGGCACTGAGTTAATACAGCAGGAAACACCCAGTTGGCTTTCTCATGACCCCTTCTTGTCCTTCTCGGGGGAAGCAGTTGCTGAAGTTTGGGCCCAGATACTTTCCCTTTTGTTCCCAGAAACAGCGTGGTTCGTGTGTCCCAACCCTCGGACATCACCCCCCAGTATCAAACACCCATTCCCCACAACGACGGATCCTCTCCTGAAATCCTTTGGAGAGCAGCCCAGGCTGGCTGCCAGTCACGCCCTGCTGCTTTGCCCCTGCATCCCCCCTTCTCCCCATCACCTCGAGGGCCTGAGAACTCCAGCCCAGCCTCCCCAAGGGTTTTCAGATGCCGAGGGGGGGGGAAAAGGACTGCGTTGCAGTGTTGAATGACCTCACTGACATGCTTGCTTCGCTTCTTGTGAAGAGCGTGACTGGCATGTAGTGCGTGGGGCTGAGCCCACGTCAGCTGGCTTTTAGAGGGAAGGAATTGAAGCGTGTCTCTTTTTCTTTTTTTTTATCCTAGGAAGACTTCCCAGTGAAAAATGAAGGACAGTGCATGATGCCTGGGAGTTTGGTAGGTCCTACCTGTGGTGGAGCGGAACAGCTGGATGGGTGAGGGTTGGAGGACTGCTGGGGAAGGAGCTGTGTATGCTCCTCACGTGCTCTCTCTGGGTGAAGACCTCCAGTGCCCGTGGAGCAGGAGATCAGACGAGATGATACAAGCTCCCTCCTCTGGTTTTAAGAGCCATGAAAAAGCTAGGAAGCCATACAGTTGTGTGCTTGGTAGCGCTATGGGGCTGTGCTCTGCCATCCGCGGCCGCTCATGCTCCTCTTCTTTCTCTTGCAGGAGGACAATAAAAATTACCTCACGTTAGTGGAGAAGTACGGAGACGGGATGTTAGTGTGTGGGACCGGCGCCTGCGCTCCCACCTGCTGGAACTTGGTATGCTGTGATGCCACCAGAGCACTTGCTGTTTTGTTTTGTGCTCGCTCCGTCTCTAAAATGGTGCCCTGATCCCCTCTCCTCCTCCGAATGCTCTGAAATGCCCAAATGCCAGCTCCCTCGAGGAGCTGGTGACAGCCTGGGACAGCCCACGCAAGCAGAGGTCCACACGTGCCCCCTCCGGGCTTCACTTGTCGTAGCCCCCTTCTCCTCACCTCCTGCCTGCAGCAGTCGACGATGGGCTGCGTCCTCCCCTCGTTTGGGCTGCGCCAGCCACGGAGAGCCGCTTTCCTCCTGCCCCAGGGGTGGGTGTGGGCACCTGGCTCCCCTGAACTGGTCACACTCAGGGACCGTTTCTGTCCTTACCCAGACGCAGAGAAAGGAGAGCGCTCCGTGGGATGGGAGAGGCATTGCTCCTTTCACCCCTGACTCGAACACCCTCGTCGTCGTCGATGGTAGGTCTGACTGCTCACGTATTTTCAGTCGCAGTGCTGTGCGGGAAAGCTGGGCTTCCTGCAGCAAACAGGGGCACCTCGAGGCTGCTTCAGGGGGGCTTTGTCCCTCTCCTCTAATTGGTGACCGGCCCTAGTGCTTCTTGTTTTTGCCTCGTCAAAATGCACATCCTTCTAGGACAGGGCGCGGCACGAGGTTATTTATTCCTGTCCAGGACGTGGGGGTTGAGTCTCTGTGCGGGAGGGTAGAGTGCAATGGAAGCAGCAGGGAATGAGGGTTCTCCAGTAACTCTGCTGCTCTGGAGCTGGCAGAGGGACAGATGATCCTTCCCAGAGGTAGAGCAAGAATCTGTCCCTGCCGTTCTTTAAGGGAAAGGACTGGAGGGAGCCCTGCCAGGCCTGCTCAGTCCCAGCCGGTGAGGACTGGGTTTCTTGACCTGTATCCACCACCCCTATGAGTCCGTGTGCCCGGAGAGTTCTTGGTTCTTTGTTTTCTTCTCACAAACCCTTCTGCCCCCTCCCAAAACAACCCCCTGCCAATGCCAATGAGCCTTCCTATCCCACAGGTCACGACATCTACTCCACCATCAAGAAGAGCCAGCAGAACGGCAAGATACCCCGTTTCCGTCGAGTGAGAGGGGGTGGAGAGCTCTACACAAGTGACACGGTGATGCAGAGTGAGTAGGGGCGAGATCTTGTTTGGGTTTTGTCACCCCTAGAGCGGGCTGATCTGGTCCCCATCCTCAATGCCAGTGAGGAGGGACCCAGTGGCTCCCTCCAACTCTCTTGCTGCCAGCTGGGGGAATTTCACCCCTTTGCTTCTGGGACAAAACAACTGAGTGAGTTCCTCTTGCTCAGGGTGAGGAGATGGGGAAATGGAGAGAAACAGGCGGCAAGTCCCCTGTCAGATGCTGGAAGGAAATATGGTTGTGTAAAGGTGCCCATCAGCTGCTGTGTGGGGGTGGAAACAGGAAGAACGACTTCCACTCCGGGTAGTGACTCTTTCCAAATCCCCATCCAGGGTGAGACCTTGAGGCAGGAACGTGTTGGGCTGCGCATGGGGTAGGGTGGGGAACAGAGAGAAAGGACCCTCCTCAGTTCCCATGGGCTTATTACATTGCTCTCCCCCATGACACTGGGAGATTATTGAACCCCTGTCCAAAGGAAAAAATCAAATCAGAATGGCACCAGGGCGAAACAGGACTTGTTCAAGCAGGGCAGTGGAGGGGGGCAACCGAGGCACCGGCAAACAAACCCGATAGACCCAGAGCCACAAGGCCAATCCCACACTTCCCCAGAACTCCCTGCCGTGGCGACATGAGCTAACGATGCTCAGAGGGGACCCTCTGCTGCTGCTGCTGGGGATGCCCTTTGTGGCAGTGGTGTGTTAATAGGAAGAGGAGCGTCACTGGGTTTTCCACAGCAGACACAAACAACAGCGCAGCTTGCTCCCACCGAGGGGAGCCTTCCTCTGTGACAACAGCTCCTCTGTGCAAGAAGGGAGAGCAGGTTTCCTTTGCTGCTAAGCAGCCGAAGCTTCACCTGGGCTCTGGGGATTTGCCTTTCAAGGGAATGTGTGCGTAGAGTTGGGCAGGAGGGGAGAGGAAGGGGAGCCCGCTGGGCAGGTGGCACGTGAAGGGCGGTTGTTAGTGCGATGCACCGGTCAGGGGTAGGGGATGGGCTCGGACCTGTCCTTTTCCTGGAGCGCAGACGGTGCTTGCGTTTTCTCATCTTGTCTGGGGGTGGGTGGGTAGCTGCAGAGCACGCTGGTTTGGCCCCCGCTGGCGGCTTTTCGGATGAACCGTGTGCGTTCAGGCCAAGGTTTTCTGACGGCTCACTTCCCTTTTCAGACCCTCAGTTTGTCAAAGCCACCACATTAAAGCACGAAGAGCCCTACCAGGACAAGATTTACTACTTCTTCCGAGAAGACAACCCGGATAAGAGCCCCGAGGCCCCGAGAAACATCTCCCGAGTGGCCCAGCTGTGTAAGGTACCACGGGAAGAGTGTGTTGTGGGGAGGCAAGAGTGTTACAGGGGTGGCAAATGGACACGCAGCTCAGCTGGTGTTACTGGCACATGGTTTGGCCCCTCTGGCTCAATTCTCTGCCACAGAGTTTGTGTGCAGTACAGCCATGTCCTTTGGCCTTCTCATCCTCTGGCTCCCATCTTGCATGTTGGGGGGAGAAATCCCTGGTTTGCCTCACTGGGCCATCACGCGACGTGATTGTTGCAGTGACCAGCATCAAAGATACCTCTGGAGCGTCCCCCAGTTAGCCATCCAAGATGCTGTGCTCTTCTCTGCCAAACCCCGCCTCCCTGCTTTCCCTCTCCCCCAGGAAGATAAAGGGGGAACCAGTTCACTCTCTGCTTCCAAGTGGACCACCTTCCTGAAGGCCAGCTTGATCTGTGTCGACCCGGTCACCAAGGGCAACTTCAACTGGTTGCAAGATGTCTTCTTTGTCCCTGCGAGTAACTGGCGGCACTCCAAAGTCTACGGGCTCTTCACAAACACCTGGTGAGGGTCTTTGCAAAAGGAGGGGATGTCCCGTCCCGTGGGCCAAATCCTTTCCTTAGTCTCTCTGGCAGGCACGTGGGTGGAAAACAGCCAGAGTGGACACGGTCAGCAAAGGCCATGCCCCAGCCGTGGGGATGATGGCCACTGTTCCTGACCCTCTCTTTGTCTCGTTGCCCTCAGGGGAAGCTCTGCTGTTTGCGTCTATTCCTTTGGGGACATTGACAACGTCTTTCGGACCTCCAAACTCAAAGGCTACAGTGGTCCCAATCCAGAGATCAAGCCTGGGCAGGTGAGTGAGTGATAAAAGACGCCCACGTGAAGTGGAGAGGCCTCCTGAGGGCGGGAGAGCAGGTCCCTGCTCTGCCACTGCAGTTGTCAGAGTAGCTGGGGCAGGTTGGGAGGGGCCAGGCTGAGCAGCCAGGTGAGAGCTGGGGCAGCGAGGAAGGTCGTAGGCGCTGTGGGGAAGGATCTGAGCCGTGTTGCTGGGAGCAAAAAGAGGCTGGGTAAGGTCCAGTGCCTTCACAGAAGGCAAGGGGAGACAGGCTCTTGGGTGCCTCGGCAAACAGGTCTGTGGGCTCTCCTGTGGGAAGCTGGAGGACGATATCTTGCCTCGTGTTTGCTAACCCCGAGGGTTTCACTGAGCCAGCCTGCAGCCCAGCCCTGCGGTTGCAGGTGCACCACCGACCTGGCAGCAAACAGCAGGGTGGGGGGGAGGCTCCCCGAAGCCTCACAGAGGGGCGGCAGGGCCTGAATCTCCTAAACTGTGACTTCTGCAGGGGAGATCGCGGGTGGGACCTGGCACCAGCGCAATCACAGCAGCCCCCGGGCTTGTGCGCTGTGCCTGGGCATCCTCCTCCGGGCTGAGGTGCCCGTGCTGTGCCTTCGCCTTGCTCTCCTGCCCTCGAGCCTCATCCTCGGGGACTCGTCTGACTCTTTTGACGGTGGCTTTTGTCCCCTCAGTGCGTTTCCTCGGGACAGCACACCCCGAGCGAGACCTTCAAGATCGCCGACAGCCACCCGGAGGTGGAGGCCCGGGTGGAGCCCCTCTCCCCCACCAAGAGCCCCTTATTCCACAACAAGCACCGCTACCAGAAGATCGGGGTGCACGAGGTCTCTGCGGGCGACGGACGCCGCTACAACGTGCTTTACTTGGCAACAGGTATTGGGAACCATTCCCTTGGGAGTTCCTCGGGGTTTGCTTTCCACTTGGAGGCAGGGAGCCTGAGGGGAGCAGACGAGACCCCCAGTTCCGAGCAAAGCTGAGGGGCTGTTTTCCCAGCTGGGCATATGTTTGTCAAGCAGAAAAGAGCTGCCAAGTCCCAGTATAGCTTAAATACATCCAATTTGGCTGCATAGGCAATGACAAGCAGAATCCCAGCACGTGGGATTCACACAGTTGGGCCGCTTTAGCTTGTGGTAGGTCTCAGGCCAAGTATTTTTAGGGCAAGGAAGGGGTAGCAGAGCTCTCCCCAGGTGCAGCTTTACACTGTCAAGCAGAAATCCGTTGCAAAGGGACCCACTCTGTCACCTCCTGTCCCTGCTTGCTCTAGCGCAGCAGCACAGACTTCCTGCGAGGGCAGCACCTCTGGCTGGAGACACGGTGCTGCGGAGCTGGGCCGAGGCAATTCAGCTGCAGGTTGAACAGGCTGGAGAGAAAAAAGTTGGCAAGCTCACTTGGGAAGCTGTCCGGGCTCCTGTGCAGCGCAGCTTCTCGCTGCCCAGAAGGTGCAAAGGTCCCTAAGCCAGAGCTTCCCCTCTCTTGCCTGCCTACCTCCCCGGGCTTGCTGCCTACAGCTGGGCTCATCCCTTTTTCTGCACTCTGCTGGGATTTGCTCACTGGCACCTGTGGAGGGACTTTCTGGGGTTTTTGTTTCCTAATCTGTGATTAAAAAAATGCGGATGGCTCTCAGTGGGTGGCCTGGGTTGGATTAGGGCCCACGCATGCTCGGATTGTTCTCGTTTTGCCGAAAGCCTTAGCTTAAATGCAGCAAACGCCTTGCAAGAGACCTGCCAGGGAGTTTGCTCCAAGATGCAGGGCTTGGCAGGGCAGCTGCCCACCCTTGCTGGGGCAGGCAAGGGCCAGCACCTGGAGGGGGGTGGGGGGTGTCCTAATCCCTGCCTGACCTGGGGTCACATCCTTCATCTCTCCCTGGTTGTGATGGTGGAGAAGGGAGCAACTGTTTGGGAAGGGAAAGCCGTGTGAGTACTAAGAGGGTAAATGATGAGCCCTGTTCCCTCAGGATGTGCCTTTCCACCCCTTTCCACCAAACCGACTCATTTTCTTAAATCATCAGTTTGGAGTCGTTTAACTGGGGAGGGGAGCCGGTTTAATTAGAAAAACAGAAAGGCAAACCCCAAGTTTCAGCCTCGGGCGAGCGGTGAGATGAGGTTCATGCGAAAAAACAGGCCGGTGATCAAAGCAGAGCAGAGCTTGAGAGCAGTTGGTTTTTCTTGCTGAGGCTGTTGCAGCGCAGCTGATCAAAGCAGACACGGCCGGGCCCGGAGGGTTGGTGGGAAATGGGATCCTCGTGCCTCTCGGCTGGAAGGATGACAAGGCTCTGCTGTGGGAAACACTGCTGTCTGGGGGGTGGTTTCCTAGCAGAGCAAGCAGGCTCCTTCTGAGAAAGGACCCGTCTTCTCTGGGTGGCTGGTTTCAGGAATCCAGACGAGCCTGGCTCTGCGGAGTGGGTATTGTCTGCCGCGGCGAGGGCTGGAGGGAGGAGAGCTGGTTCTCTGCCTGGCTTCCCCAGCCCTGCCTGCCGCCCCTCTGCCTTGCCTTTCTGCCCTCGGCGTGCTTCATCAGGGCTCTCCCCTCTTTCTATCTAGACAAGGGATCCATCCACAAGATCGTGGAGCTGCCGGACGGCGTGCAGAACATCATGGAGCTCCAGGTCTTCCCAAAGAAGGACCCGATCCAGTCCATGATCCTGGATCACAAGAGGGTGGGTGGCTGCCGGCTCCACAGGAAGGAAAACAGTGGGTTGGGCTGTAGCTTTAAAAGCAGGCAGCAGGGGAGGCAGGGACAGATGGTTTAATGACAGCCCCTGCATCTGGAAGTAGCCTCTGGGTGGGTTTTCGGGGGGGTTCTGCTTTGCTAAATCCTAACAGCTGGGCTGATGTCCCCGCTCCTGGGTAACTCTCTGGGTGGTCGGCAGGCGACGGAGCTTTTCAGACACCCCCCCCCATCTCCTCTGGAGGCGAGGGAAGAGCGAGGCCGTGTGCTCCCCGGGTCCAATCCCAGCACACTGTTCTCCTCCCTGCCTCAGTTTCCCTCTCGTTGTCGAGCCTCGCTGGCAGAGGAGCTGTCAGACAGTGTCGATGCTCTATCCTGGAGGTGCCAACGCCGCTGTCACTGATGGAGCAAACTTCTTGATAGGCAGGGCCGATGCGGGGGGGGGAAGGATGGCTGCTTCCCCTCCCACGACAGGGAGATATGACTGCATTGCCTGGGGACGTACCAGCTGGTGAAACGTTCCCACTGGTGAAAACCACCCCAGCGTCACAGCGAAGCCGCAGGAGGGGAGTTAGACACGCTTCGGGTGGCGCTGGGGACACAGGGCCGAGGTGATCAGCCCCTCTGCTTCCCTCCCGCAGGCGATGCTGTACGTCGGCTCAACAGATAAAGTCATGGAGGTACCCATGGACATGTGCAGGGTGTATCGCAACAACTGCGACAGCTGCTTGCTGGCGAGGGACCCGTACTGCGGGTGGCTCAATGGGACATGTCAGTCGGTTTATCTCAACCGGTACGTGGCTGTTTCTCCGTCACCTTCGGCGGGTTGTTTTCGCGTCAGGAACACCTGGACCCCTCAGTATTCCCCTTCCTGCCCGGGGCTACGTGTGGTTTTGAGGCCGTCTTCCCCTCACAGCAGAGAGATGAGCCCATCGTGTCCAGGCAGTAACAGCGCAGACATCTCTGCTGCCCCCCAAAACTGCGCCTCCGCCGGGATCCCTCCCTCCCGCAGCACCCCTGCTCTGCAGAGGGTGAAGCCAAGGGGTTTCGAGCACCCAGCCCCTCTTTTCCTGTTAGAAGTGTGGGTAGCTCTGCTGGTTGTGATGCTGTTTCAAGCGGTTGATTGTGGTGAGTTGCTGGGTCTCGCATTTGCCATCCACCCACCTCCTAAGAGGGGCTGCGTGGGGCATGTTTTTTTTTTCCCTGCTCTGATAACAGCAGCTGTTTAAACTTCCTTCCTGAAATGATCCACCGCATTTAGTATGGGCGATTCCTTTCCTAGCACCGAATCGCCGCTGCCCTGACATTAACGCTTGCTTATTGCTTGTTCCCATCTGCTAGGGAGGTGCATCAGAACCTGAACCTGGACCCGTGGAGAGGAAAATGCCAAAATGGGGACGTGAAGGAAGGTATGTCAAGGTTTTGAGCTGTAGGCCGTGGAGCCGGGGGGTGCTTTGGGGAGGGGGACTGATTCTCGGGGCTTTGTGTGGGTCGTGCAAGGTGTTAACAACTCGCTGCTGGGGAGCTGGGGATGACCGTGCTGAAACCAAAGGCATCAAGCGAGTCTCAGCTTGGAGTTCATCACCAGATAATGCATTGCTGAGCTGGGTGAGAGGTCTTAAACTCTTGAGTTTGCTGACGTCCTGGGAGGAGCGTCCCACAGACTTCGCCGGGCATGAGTCAAGCCCTGTGGTTGTCATTAAATGGAATTTAATGTCATTAAGTGGAACCATCACCCCATCGACCCAGCCTTTCCTCCCTCCTGGCTTGTGGGGGAATCGGTGGTTCCTGGACATTGCCTGCCTCATCCCCACCTTCTCCATATCTCTTCCACTAGATGACTATCAGAACATCACAGTTGTCCCTTTCTCCCGCTACTACCTCAACTGCCCCATCGAGTCCCACTATGCCACCTACAACTGGTACCACAACGACAGCCTCATCAAGACCTGCAACACCACCCACCCGCAGCAGGACTGCTTCCACTTCATCCAGAACGTCAGCCACGTTCACTACGGCCACTACGTCTGCGTCTCGGAGGAGGACGGCTTCAGGCAGGCTCTGGTGAAGGAGCGCCTGGTCAACCAACTCCGGTTCATGTCCCAGAAGGGCCAGGCCACCGTGACGTTTGGCTCTTGGCTCCAGCTGCTCCTGATGGGGGTGTTGGTGGAGCTCTTCCACTGAACGCGACCGGACCGTGCTCCCGCCATCCTGGCTGCTGCCGCCGCTCTCCCTGCGCTCGCTGTCCATTCCCGAGGCGAGATCCTCCTTCTCTTAGTCACTTCTTGGACATTAATCTTTGACTGTCCCAAAAGGGGACCCCGGGCAGCAACCCCTCCATCTTCGGCCTTGGTGGAAGAGTCATGGCGAGGAAGATGCGCGACGGCGGGGCCAGGCGGAGCGGGGTTTGGGGACAGGGAGGGGAGGGGGTACCCTAAAACGAATGCGGGGGGACGTTCGCAGCACCCAGCAGCGTGAAGGGGAGTGGTGTCAGCCTCCCCCCGAGCCCGCGCTGGTGGCTCTGTACTGGTTATCGTCCTGAGCCTACGCGGGGTGCGGCCGTTCAGGGGACTTCTGCCGATGTGCATGCACTGATCCTCAGGGCACGATGACTCCTCTCTTTGGGAACGTGCATGTGATGAAGAGGAGGAGCCAGCCCTCGGCCTTTCGAACTGGTTGCTCTGTGCTTCGCTCCGAGCGGGGACTGATGCCTCCCAAGTTTCTAGTGGCTAGTGTCTGTTTGGGTTGGCGAGCAGCTGGAACGCTCCCAATGTCACATGTGAGTCCCCTTCTGGTCTGGAGAATTGGGCTCTGGAAGGGTTTTAACGGTTTGGTTTATTTTTTGGGTTGGTTTTTTTTTTTTTTTTTTTTTTTGCAGCTGGCTTTGACATGGGAGGGAGATCGGGAACTAGCGCTGGAAACCTGCAAGGCAAAGGCAGGCACAAAGTTAGCATTTTGCATGGAAAAGCCTCGGAAGATGACTAGATTTGGGGTGTGGGGAAGGACAGACCGAAGGGGACACGAAGGGAAGGTGGAAGCAGAGCCCAAACCAAACCCGGGAGGCCCTGGGAAGACGTTTTAAACGCACAAATCCTCTGCAGGCAGCTAAGGGCATTTATTTGTGGGCAGCAGGCAGCCCCTGCTCCCCAGCACCTCTCCTCCAGGAGAGGGACCGGGCTTCCTCAGGGAACGAGGCGGCAGGGTGCTGATCTCAGGGCGATGCCGACAGGCTCGGGGAGGGGGGGGGGGGGGGGGGGGGCTGTGGCCGTCCCCAGCACCCAGAGCAGATCTGCCCCTCTCCCTCGCGGTGAGGGGACAGGGGAGGAGCAGGGTTTGCTTCCCTTGGGCTTTGAGGTCTCCGAGCGAGACTAAACTGTGAAAAAGGGGGTGTTCTCCCTGCTCCTGTGGGCAAGGGGCGATCCCACACCTTGTCCAAACCTTTCCCAGCCCTCTCCTCGGCCGGAACGCCCCAGCCTTGGGCCGGGGTGTCGTATCTCATGCTTCCAATAACCTGTCACAGCAGCACAGCCCCTGCTTCATACCCGCTCGGAGACACTCAGGGGTGCCCGAGGGGTCTTTTTGACAAGGGGGAGAGATGCCCTGTGCCTCTCGTGACCGCAGGCGATGGACAACGGGCCAGAGCTTCCTACTGCACTACATTTCCAAGATACCCTCCCCGAATCTAGGATAGAGCTTCTTACATCCCTTCTCAAAGCACTTTAACTTTGTGAACTAACAAATACCTATTTATTATCAACTGGTGATTACAGTACTTGTATAATTTTATAATATTATAAAAGGTGGGTTCAAATTAGAGAAGAGAAAAGACAAACACCGCAACAGCTACCAAAAAAAAACCTTTCAGAGCTGTCACCAAAGTGAGAATGTGAGCGTTGAAATAAAGAACGGAAAAGAGCAGGCGAGTGCCGTGTTTCTCACCAGGAGCCGAGGGACGCTGCTGGGACGGTGGCCGGGGTCTCCGCTGTCCCCCTTCCCCTGAAACCAAGGGGTCCCCCCACCCTCCCCCTCCCACGTCTCTCCCGCCTCTCCCCTCCAGAAGCCGGGCAAATTCCTGCTGGAAGAACCCCCCAGGTGTGGAGGGGGGGGGGGGGGTGGTAGCAGCACCCCGCTCAGCACCACCCACCACCCGTGGAAAGCTGTGAAGGCCCTAAATAGCGGCGGCGGGTCCTGATGGGTCCCGGCACCTTCGCCGTGCTCCCGCGCACCCTCGGCTTTGACGTCGGGGACGGCTTTTAGGAAGGAAAGCAGGGGCTGCCTGGCTGACAGCCCGTGAAACGGAGCGGTGCTGAACTCGCAGCACTCTTTTTTTTTTTTTTTTTTTTTTTTATTTGCTGGTTTGGGAGAAAAATGAGCTGATGGTTGACAGCCGGGAGAGGAGGGGGGGGGTGTGTGTGTGTGTGTGGAAAAGGCCAGGCTTGGGATGGAGGGAAGCAGGGAACAGGAATTCAAGCTTTTAAATTGTGCCAACAGAAGCAGGAGAGAACAATACCCCCCTTCTCTCTTTCAAAGCCTCCATCAAAGGCCCTTGGCACAAAGGCAGAACGGGTTGCAGAGCCCGGCGGACCTGGCGCAGCGCTCGGCCCCCCCCACCTTTGCTGGGCTTTCAAAGCGCTGTGGCTTCGCCTAAACCCGGGCCCGGCTGCCTTTCTGGGTGCTATTCTTAACGCTGGCTGCTGGGCCTGTTCCTGCAGGTGCCATCCGAAAATATTTAAGCCTTGGAGGTTGGGTAGGAGCCCCCCCAAGTTCCTTTTGCAACGCTTCGGAGGTGGCAGGGAGGACCAGCTGGGGACACAGGGATGGCGGTGACAGGCACCTCTGTCCCCTGGGACCCGTGCCTAGAAGCCCCAACCCGGGATTTTCAGGAGAGTTTTGCAGGGATCTGCAGCGGGGAGGGTGGTGGTGGTGTGGGGGGGTTGGCAGCTGAAAGCAAAAGCCTCCCCTGCCTTCTTTCTTTCTTAGCACTGGGTTTGGCAGAAAACTTTCCCGCTGGTGCCGCCAGCATATGCGGCTGTGGCATCTTGACGTAAAGAAGGAGAAACGAGCCCGAAAGGCAGGCGGGTGTCAGCGGAGCTAAAACAAGAAGTGTGATTTCTGGCAGCCCCCCCCCCGCCGCGGTGGGAGGAGGTGGGGAGCTCGTCCAGGACGGGAAAGGCGAGGAGCCCGGCGCCCAGGCCTTATCGCTCGGGCGCTGTATTGCAGATGCTCAGGTGTTTGTTTGCGTTTCCAGCTCTATTGCTGCCAAGTGTTGGGTTAGCAAAGCCCTAAAAACCCGGCGGGTGAAGTGTTTGCAGGTGCCCCAGTGAGCGGAGGCGGTGCCGAATCCCCCCGGGAGCGGGTCGGGAGCGATGGGCTGGGGCCGTGCAGGGCTGCGATGACGCCTTTTCGGCTGCCCAGGCTCTGTTTCTTTTTGCCCAAGAAGCAGGGGGAGAGCGCGGGACCGAGTGCCCCAGGGAAATCCCTGGGTATCACAGAGACCCCGCGGGCTCCGCAAAAGGGCTGCAGCTCTGTCTCCTTCCCCAGCCCAGCCTTCGCAAGTGGGTCCCCGTCCCTGCTCCTTGGGGACAGCCAGGACAAAAAGGGGGAGCCTTTTGCTAAGTTTCCTGAGAAAAATATCAAAGACTGAACGTTTCAGGCCGTGGTTTATTCTGGGCCACGTTTCCCCTGGCCGCTGGCTGCTTCCTATAAATACAATGAGCCGAAAGCCGCGGGCAAACACAGGCGGCTGGGGTTTATTGTGGGTTTTGGGGCTGCTGGTGGGAAAAACTGCACGCGGGGAGGGGAAAGCTGTGGCGTCACCGCCCTCACCCCGACTGTGGCCCTATTGTTCGAGCGAGTTATTTTGGGAGCCTTGTTTCGATGGGAGCGGGCACGCACAGGAAGGTCAGGTACTGCAGCAGCTTCTGCGGGCTTCCTCCGGCGCGGGGACGGCCGCAGGGCTGAAACAAAAGCCTCAAGAGCGTTTTATTTTTTTCCCAGCACCATCTTTGGGGGGGGCTATTTCTGCCTCTGGCCTCGCCCGCGGCGGCCTTGGAGGCTCCTCTAGGAGGGGGGGGTTTGCTGGGCAGGACAATAGACCCAGGAAATCCTGTATCCGCCTGAATCAGATGCAAGAGCTGGTGAGAAATCCCCCCAGTAGCTGCCTGCTCCCTTCGTGCGAGGCACCCAGGGTTTGCACCGGCTGCAGGCTCATCCGAGATACTCTCTCCGGTCATAGCATCCCCCCGGGGAACTTTTCCTGGCGGGATGGGGGTACGGAGCAACCCCGGCAGGAGCTGGCTGGAGCCTGGAATCGGGGATGCCCCGACGGCCACCCCTGGAGCTGGGATCCCAGGGATGGAGAGGTGCTGCCGCATCATGGCAGCATCTACCATCCTCCCCGTCCCTTGGAGACCAGCCCGAGCCTTCTCCTTGAGTTTTTCTTATCTAGCATCTTATCTTGGGCTCAGCCTGTCCAGCCTTCCCGGCCAGGTCGGAGCGGCAGTTATTGCCGGAGCCGGCCCAGCGGCACTGCTCCGTGCATCATCCCCGCCCCCCCCCACCCCGGGCCAGCTCTCCCATGGGTGTCCTGCCCAGCCCCCACCCGCTTCCCCTGGGACAGGCTGACAAAAAAAACCAACAAACATAAACTGAGCTCATCTGCCTTGTTCGGGTGCCCAAAACCGTGCCACCCACCCAGCCGGTTCCCGGCTGCCTTCACCCCTCGCTCCTCTTGGTCCGACCTGTTTTTCCTGTCAGTGATGTGGCAGCAATATCTGCAGGTGGATGTTTTCTGCCGTGCAGCTATTTCCCCCCTTTTCCCTGAGGATCTGGGGATTTAACCACCCCTGGACAGGTGTCTGTCTATCCACACATGGTTCTGGGCTCCTTTTGCCTGTGGTCCACGCTGAGGCACAGGGGGGATGTGGCGGGGGTGATGCTAGGCCACCGAGGCAGTGATGTGAGTGGGAAATCCAGCCATTTACTGGAAACGAGATGACCCAGGAGATGCTGGAGGAAGTCGAACATGGGATAAACCAGCGTGCCTTCCTCTCACGTGGCTGCGCTCTTCTTCCTCACAGCTGTATACACGCAAATGCTTTTCCCACTCCAGACACGAATTTCCACCCTGAGATCCCTGAGGGGCGATCACGGGCAAAGGACGGGTCCCATCAGGGTGAGATATCCCTTCCCAGCTCGATGGAGACCCCAAAAAACAGGCATCAGCCCAGCAACTTTTAGATTTGGGACCGCCGCACACAATAAATTAGAAAGAGGAGACTCGGTTTAATGGAGCAGGCCAATAAAAACGAGCTAGAATTGCCTTTGTTTCAGATTAAAGCTTGTCCTGGCCGGGTCCATCCTCTCGATGAGCTGCTCCGGGTGCTTCTGGCAGCTCCGGGAGCATCACACGCTCAGCCCCGAGTGCTTCGGGGATGCTGCCCAACACGTGCCGAGTCATCCCCTTCCCTCTGCTCCCGGGGGAAACCCTCCAGCAAGAGCTGCTTGATCATGGCTACAGTCTGTTTGCAGCTGAAAGTTTTTCTCTTTTTCAATGTAGTATTATGAAAATGAGGTTTCCCCCCCCCCTCCAGCCCCAAACTGAATCACAGGGGGTTTCTGGGCAGGAGTTTTACTACTGAAATTTTCCCAACCACCTGCTCGTGGGCAGGAGCTGAAAGCTTGCAATGAATGGATTCCCGCGCGCAGAAAGCAGGGAAGACCCCAGGATGAAATCACTGCAGGGAAGAAAAGAGCCTCTCGGAAAATACATGAAAAACACCGTCCTGCCCAGGGGATGGGTGTGAGCAGCGGGGAGCTGGGCCGCTTGGGTCCGTGCATGGATGCGGGCCGTATTTTTAAGGTAAGAAAGCAATGCAGTCAGCTCCATGCTCTTTTTCCAGCCACTGATTTCACGCCTGTTCTGCTCTCCGTCCCAGGGGTGTGATGCAGGCCCTTTATTCTACCCCCCTGAAACAGCATCACCCTGGCTGAAGTCAGCCCCATCCCGGCTGCTTCCCATCAGCTCGGGGGGACAAAGTTGCAAATAGGATGAGCTGCTCCACCAAAACACCTTCCCTCTGCTAAATCGCTACAGTCTTGGCATTCCCAGCCCCACGTGATGGGGTCGAGGAGGGGGATTTTCCAGGGATGTTGGGGTTTTACTGGGGCCGGGGCTGCGGTGCTGGCTCTGCGAGGTTTCCTGCCGCGGAGCAGAAAGTCAGGGGGGTTTCTCAGCAGTCTCTCGGAGGTGTGATTTACTGAGGGGGGGAAGGTGTGAAGGGGCCAGGCAGTTAGTCACCCTGCTCGCTCCGGAGGTGCTAGCACACCAGGAAAGCCCCGTGGATGGAAAGCGAGAGCACAGGGCCCACGGACGTCACCTCCTCGTCAGGAGGGAAACCCACTGGAGGGACAAAGCTTGTCCCCCGCAAGTGCTCTCTGTTTCACTCAGCCAAAAATAGCAGGGGATACATCCGAGTCATGTGGGCTTCGTGGGCGAGCCGCCCACCGAGGCGGGGGAAGAGCCCCTGCTCCATCCGCGTGCTGCCCGCTTTGCTCGTCACGGCCGAGGCCGGCGGCAAAAGCAGAGCCCCCCTCCCCGCTGGGATTTCTGCTGGCTGGGGAAATAGTGACGCTGTGGGTTTCTGAGCACCTCCCCGACTCATTTCCTGCCCCCCCCCCCTCAATTTTCCATCAGAGCCCCCCCAAACCGCGCGGGTTCCTGTGCCCACCGCAGCAGCCGGAGGTTGCGAGCGGCGTGCTGGGGGGCTGCTGGAGAGGGGACAAACCGTCGCGTTCCCTTCGTGCTGCAGGGGCGCTGACGCAGTTGGGGATGTGCCCCGAAAATTTAGAGACCTCCTGGGGTGGGGGGAACGGAGGGAGGAGGGCAGGGCCCCCACGGAGGGTGTGCGTGGGACC